GTGCGAGGGAAATCTACTCCCACATTCCCCCACGGAAATGTCAGTGAAATTCAGAGTGATTATTATGTTTGATAGAAGCATGCTTCCTTTTCTGGAAAATACAAAGAAGTAATGAGCTCTGTATCAAGACTGTTGGGAGCCCATGGGGACAACCAATTTCTCCGTTTACATCAAGAGCATAACGGACTTCCAACCTAAAGGAAATAAAAAAAAAAAAAAGAGGCGGCTATGTATAAATACTACATGCATACAACTGATGCTGCCAAATTTATGGTGGTCCTTTCCAGTTATTTACCAAGTATTTCTTACTTTGCATTCTAACTGCCTGCTAAGTATTGTAGTTATTTTTTCATGGTGGGGATCCGAGCATTAAGCAAAACAGAATCCTGATCCACACGGAACTTCCATTTCCCTGGGGGAAGATGCTAAACAGAACTCATCTTGGATCCTGACATGCGTTGTTGGTGTGGTCAAGAATGAGCAAAAGTGGGGAGAAAAGCCTTAGGATGTCCAAGAAGGCTTTTTGAGAGAAGAGTCCTGTGACAATAAGAGGAACAAGCTGGAGGAAAGACCATGGGATGAGGCTGAGCTTCGTGTAATCAGGAAGAGCAGGGAGGTCAGAGCATCACAGACAAGGGGGACAGCCAGGAGGATATGGGATTGGAATCTCGGGGAGGGCCAGGAGTGGTAGTGTTTTGTAGATCATGATATGGGTGGTTTATACTTTATTCTTATTGTAACTGGCAAGCCATTGGATGGATAAGATTTAATACTTTGTGAACAATGGACCAGACATCGGTGTGAATGAAAACAGGTAAATAAGTGTGCCAAGTGAACGATGGATTGAAAGAGAAAGACTTGCTAGAGAAGCATGACTTCCCATAGACTTTAGAGGCAGAGTCTACAAGGGTGCCGTTAAGGAATGTCATGCTAATGTCATGCTCTTAACCCGGATGTTGGGTCTGAAGGAAACCACGTTAAGGAGGATACCAGGGTTTCAGTTGAACACACAAGAAGCTGAATGCTTATGATGCGTCTGCAGGTGGAAACTAAGCTCCCAGTAGCACGTCCTCATGGAAGTGGTATCTACAAGGCTCCATGAAGTCACTCAGCCAGGAGCTGCTGGCTTGTACTCCTGACTTGTGTTGAGACTCTCTGAGATTCCCAACTATTCACAGCTGGCAGCTCAGCCAGAATCATAGAATGGGGTCCATGATGGGAGAGAGAGGCACACAATTCAAGAAATGAGCTAACTAGCAAACCGAGAGCCCCACCGTGTGTCAATGTAACCTCTTGCTCAGCAGGAATAGGAATCTTTTGGCTACCACTCTAGGTGGATAAATAAACTTAGAAATGGCTCCTAAATGAAGGTTATCAGTAAATATACAGTCCTTTATCACAACAGTCTTATGAAGCATCATTGCATCCACTTTACTGAGGGACAGTAAAGTGCATCCTACAGGCAGAACATCATTTTCCATAAAAAAAAAATGGCCATAATGGGGCACCTGGGTGGCTCAGTTGGTTAAACATCTGCCTCTTGATCTCCGCTCAGGTCTTGATCTCAGGGTTGTGAGTTCAAGCTCCACATCGGACTTCGGACTCAACGTTGGGTGTGGAGCCTACTTAAAAAAAAAAGTCCCTAACAATTCTAGAATCCCTACATGTGGACAGAGTCAATATGCCTGTGCTTTGTTGCATGTTAGGAGGTATACACAAACACTTATATGTATCCAAATATCTGTCCACACTTTGTTTGAAACTTAGACAGTCTCATCTCATCTGAGTAGGACCACTTTTGTATGTTGTGCTTAATATAAATTATTATTATAATTTAAAACCAAACATATGTATCTTTGGAAGGACAAAATAAAAGCTCTCTTTAAAATAAAAAAAAAAAAAAAAACCTAAGAGAAAAAAAAACAACAGTTGTTATGGTATTAAAAATGTCCCAAACCTAAATGCAGGATCCAGTCTTTGCCAGGCAGTGAGGTGAGAGTCATTATTATCCCAACTTCATAGATAATGGAAACAGAGGCTCTCAGAGGTCAAGCAAAATGCCAAGATCCAGACATCAAGAAACAGTGACTCCAGAACTCGGATCCTTGTCTCCTGACAGCACACTCTTTATTCTCTTTCTTACCTTAGCACATCACCCAGACCACACTAGATATCTGAAGGACAACCATTAAATACATGCATAAAGAAATCATGTATGCTCTCTTATAAAATTTGGAACAAAGACATTTTGCTTAGCTTAATGTATCTAAAATATATACTTACTAAAGATCATGGAAACGTCTGTTTTCCTCTCCTTCATCTATCAACACACATTTTGGCTGGTTTGATATAAATCTTTCCTGTCTGAAGAGCCAGGCAACCTTTCCACACATGCGCCACTGTTGGCAAGATTTGATGTTTGTCCTTGTACCCCATGCTGGGTTTTAATTTGAGGACGATGGGCTCCAGAATTATTCTCTTTCTCTAGGCAGAATCCATTTCCTATAAAAGCAGATAAGTGAGCATTTTGCTTCACAAGAATAGACATGGAAGGAGGTCCTAGGAGAAACCTATATTACTCTACTCATTAAATTTTGCAGGCCATTTAGGATACTTGCGGAGGTTTTGGGCTGCAGGACATTTTCTCTGTCACATTTTGTTTTTCAGTTCAGTTCTACACAGAACAAAAGTTGATTGAATGCACACATTGTGTATACCGTGTTATACTAGACTCGGGTTGGGATGGAAAAGTAAATAAGATATGGTCACTGTCAACCAGGGACTCACCGTCTGGGCAGAGGCAGGGAAGGTTCCGAGAGATGCTCAGGAGACACGTGACAAGACAGGTAAGTGAGAAGAGTTTGCAACCTGTAAACTCTGGTGGAAGAACAGAGGAGCCCTCAGTCATTCTGTGGCCTGGAAGCAGGCCAGTTAGGTTAGTCATTGAAGCGAGTATACTGGCCAGTGACAGAGGTAAGAAAGACATTACAGGGGCAGAGGAGAGTTAGCAAGGCCGTGAAGTCAACAAATGCAGGTACAATGAGAGACACTGAGAGATGCCATGTAATTGTGGCATCAGTGTGCACAGGGAACATACTGGATGAATTGGAGGGCCAGGTCAGGGTCATTCAAGAGCCATGAACGTCCTGCTAATGTTTGCTTCCCGTTAACTCCTTACCACATCTACAGGGACTTGCACACGGTCCATACTTACAAATGTGTTAAATATACAACGAAATGCTAGCACTTAGGGATACAAAGACGAGTAAGATATGTTCTAGATTATTACCATTCTCAACGCCTGGTAAAGGAGATGAGTTTTAGAGGCAGAGATGTGGCCCAGGAAAGAAACTAATGCTCTGAATGATTTTGCAAGCCACACTAAGAGATTTTGACATTCAGGCGACAAGAGCCTATTTAAATGTCTCTTTTCTTATCAAATAGAGGAGGTGGTCTTAAATATGGAAGATTCAATTAAGTCTGGCAAATGTGTCTTTCATTGATTGTCTCCTGAATGAGGGGGACTTGGTTGTAGCCAAAGAAAGAACAGCATAATGGGATTGGGAAACTGCCTTATGGTTAATTGATGTTTCAACACGGGGAAGCGGATGAATATTTGAAGAACACCAGGATGTGAGCTTCTACATGAGGCAGAGCTCTTGTTGGTTCCCTGCATGTGCCCAATTTACACTCTCAAATGCTCATCCTGCCATTTTTAGAAAAGGCGGCTTAAAGAGATACTTCCTCATCTGTTTGACTCTAGCGTCTCTACAATTAGACATGAAATGTGCTCTGTACTACTCTCCGCTTATTCCTACCTTCCAGAATCTATCAAAGGAACTGCATGGATGATTGAGATAATAATGCGGTGTCTTGGAGCGCCTGGGTTGCTCAGTCGATTAAGCGTCCGACTTCAGCTCAGGTCATGATCTCACGGTCCGTGAGTTCGAGCCCTGCATCGGGCTCTGTGCTGACCGCTTGGAGCCTGGAGCCTGTTTCCGATTCTGTGTCTCCCTCTCTCTCTGCCCCTCCCCCGTTCATGCTCTGTCTCTCTCTGTCTCAAAAATAAATAAACATTAAAAAAAAAATAAATAAATAACACGGTGTCTTATAATGTGCCCCAAAGTTCTAGAACTGTGTTTGACCCCACGAAGCACCAGCTGTGTGAATGAGGGAAGGCCACTTCATACCTTGGTTTCTTCATAGCTACAACTGAAATGTAAATTTTATGTGAATTTATTGAACTCATTTTGTAAAGTATAAAATATGAGTTCTTTTTAAAAAATGGTTTCAATGCTTATTTATTTTTGAGAGAGACAGAGAGAGAGAGAGAGAGAGCAAGAGCACGAGTGGGGGAGGGGCAGAGAGAGAAGGAGACACAGAATCCAAATCAGGCTCCAGGCTCCGGAGCTGTCAGCATGTGGGGCTCGAACTCACAAACAGCGAGATCATGACCTGAGCCGATGTCTGATGCTCAATCGACTGAGCCACGCTGCCACCCCTAAAATATGACTTCTTGAGCAGAGTTTACAAATTCCAAGTGGATTGGATATTCCATACAGATATATGTGCTTTTGGAGTAGATAAAGGTCTGAGATCAAATGATACATATTGTGTGTATTTAACTGAGTACAGTTTTGGGTCTGGTTTCTGTCTCCGTGCAGGCTTTAAAGCCTTTGATAGATTCTCAAAGCATTCCTAACCTAAACAAAACTAAGCCTCCCTGCTGCAAAATGGTAAGAGATGAAGGGGATTGAGGGGGGTTCTATTAGGATCATTTACTTTGGTTACTAAAAGAGGAAAAGCTGGGTCATTCAAAGTAGCCTTTGGAATTCCTTGATTTATTGGTCGGTTTTCCCTACTTGCTCTGTACTCAGACGTCATGGACAGAAAATTGTTCAGGGGAGTAGTTACTTAGGAAGGCGGGATCGAATTTTGATAACTCCATAGATTATGAGTCATGTTGCCAACTAGGGAACCACAGAGCACTTCAGTGCCTCCTTCTCTTTTATTCATTTCTATCTATCCTTGTTGTATTCACCGGCAGTCACGATATCTTAGATTCTTTGTAATCTTTTCAGAGCAGCGTCTTAACTATTACTCCGAGAGCTTCGGGGGCTAATCATCTTATAAAGATGAACTCGGCAATCCAGCAAAAACAGCTAGTTGGACTGTTTATTTATATCCCTCAAATGAGCTGATTATGAATTCCTTGGATGAGTCGCTAAGTTGCAGTGACTCTCAGGTTTTCCCATCTGTGAAATAAAGTGGACGAAATTCCTGTTTTGATCCGTTCTTGAGCAGCAAATCAGCTTCTGCCATACTTCTTCGCCTGCCACCTGAGCTCATTCGGTGTTCTCTTTGTTGCTGTCCATTATGTTTCCTCAGGCTGCGCTACAGATCTGTTTTCTCCACCTATCGAACCCCCCGTCCTCAAAACGTAAGTCAAATGCTTCCCATATTTTTCCATTCACAACACTTTGTTCTTTTGCTGAATTCTACTTAGCATGTAAATGTTACCTCGTTAGCACAGTCTGTTACGTGGCAAGAACTCAATATATCGTTATGTACATCTGCACCTTAATGTTGAAAGGAAATCAGCCTAGATATGCCTCTATTCCAAGATGCAGAAACAGACCCAAAGCGCTTCATGATTCACGTTTGTTCGTAAAAGAGCAAAGCCCAGAACCTGTGTCTCCTAAAATTAGCAAGCCATATCAGGAGACAGGTGTACCGTGACCTAGCCACCAATCGTAGAGAAGAAAGTGCAGAATTGCATTAGTGAACTTGATGTTTGGAAAGCTAACCCAGCTGTGTGTAGCAATGCCTCTATCAGGTGGACCAACCTGGGGGTAAGGTCCCAGCACATATGGAGGTGGGGTGGGGGGAGAAGCTTAGAGGCCCAAATCCAGCAAGATAACAAAGAATTGTTCAGGGAAGAAGACAGCTCCAAAAGCCAGGTCAACAAGGGAAGAAAGAAAAGACAGAAATGGAAAGCGTTAGCAGAGAAAAACATGGATGACGGTTTGGGTCCCAGACCCTCCCTTAGGTGCTGGGTGATCATGAGCACTTTGCTTTATGTCTTTAAGCCTCCGTTGTCATGTCTGTAAGACAGAGATAGACATATATACGTCAGCATGTGACTTTCAGAATTACTATAATAAATGTAATTCCAAAGCCCAAAGTCTCACGCAAAGGATGTGATCAACCAATGGCTATCGTCATCTTATTATTTTTCCGTAACCCTTGAAATAATGGATTCAATGGGTAGTGCCGCTAACATTTAGCTCCATTTAGTACCAGACGGTGGGGTTGAATTGCTGGTGGTTTCTCATCCAGGTTAAACTTCCCCCATGAGCTGGAATAAACCTGGGTGGCATACAGGTGCCTGGGTTAGTCCATCAGTAGACACAATCGTCAGGGTGGAGGCACCGGGACGGCCAGAGAGATGCATCGAGTCCTGTTCCGGTCTAGGCCTTGTTCGGCTATATCGCACAAACTATGTTGTGAGGTCTTGATCTCCATGGTAACCTTCCCCCTCCCCACACACAAATACACCAACATCTGGGATTCTTATTTTCGGCAAGAGCTATTTTTTTTCTCTCTTTTTCATTCACTTCTCCAGAGTTAGAAACTTCGGCAATGCATGATAAGCCGCACCTACCTAATATTACCGACAGACTTTTTCTGCCAGGAAAAGAAATGCCCAATGAAAGCAAATCAATGGGCCATGGAAGCAGGTCTTCCCAGCGGTGACCTAATCTGCCTGTTTCAAAAGAAGGTAAGGAAATTCAGCAGCAGACCAGGATTACTGGAAGCGATCCTTTTTTATGCAGTGTTGTCTCATGTTCTTTGCACAGAGGTTACAATGACATGAACCGTCAGACGGGAGAGAGAGCTCGCTAAGCTTGAATCCCCGCCCGTATACTTACCTGCTAGGTCACATCTCTGAGCTCCAATGTCCTCATCTGTGAAACGGTAAGAGCGATAGTCACCTGACCTGGCGCTTCAGGTTTGCTGATTGTTTTTAACGTATCATACGTGGAATTTTTTGTACACTTTACAACGCTATGCAAATATAAGTTCGCATGATGCTTCTTTCACTTTTGGCAGGACTCTAAAGTTAAAGCTGGACTCTTTTTCCCGTCCTCAGTGGAGAGAAGTACTAGGTAGGGAAGCATGTATTTATCCAGCACACTGGGGGCAAGGATTTTATGGTGGAGTGACCTTGGCTGGCATTTGGTAAAATTGCTGGGTAGACATATTTCTGCCTTGGTTCAGAGCTTGTAAGAACAGACCCCTGAGACAAGAGTTCACTTGGGAAATGACCCTAGGAAACACCTGTAGGGGGATGGGGAAGTGAGTCAAGGAAGGAAAGGAGCCAAGGAATGGTGGGTTAACAAGGGAGCCGTTACCAAGGTGGGCAAGCTGAGCTTAATCCCGTGGGGGAGTATGAAGCCAGTGTAGGACACACACCTCAGAGCTGGTCCATCCCCAGCACAGTGAAGCCCGGGAACTGAACCACTCATTCCATTCAGCTGATCGGTTAAGCATTTCTCACTGGGAGGTATTAAGGCCACAGCACTTTCTACCCACCTCTCCTCTCCCTTGACCAGAGAAAGGCTCTGCAGCAGGGAATGACCACGGAGGGCCAGGGGCCATCGTGGTGCCGGCAGTTGGATGTTTAGCCACCGTTACAAAAATATTAAGGGATTAGAGGCAGGGCACCGATGGCATCAATCTCAATGATGCATCAGGAAGTTTGGGTAAAGCATCTTAATCTCTGTGCCTCAGATGGCGTTTTGTCTTATTCAGTGATTATAAACAATATGACCTATGATTTGATGTTATTAACATTGGTGGTAGGAGAGAGCAAAGACTGAAGAGGCTATTGTGTGGTGAAGCACCTGGGTGGCTCACTCCGTTAAGCATCTGACTCCTGATTTCTGCTCAGGTCACGATGTCACGGTTTGTGGGTTCGAGCCCTGCATCAGGCTCTGTGCCGACAGTGCACAGCTACTTGGGATTCTCTCCCTGCCTCTCTGCCTCTCCCCTGCTTGTACTTGCTCTCTCTCAAAAATAAATAAATACACTAAAAAACACCCCCAAGACTTAGATTGCTATCGTGTGGGTCATTTGATATCTGCCTCTCTACCTAGATCTCTATCTATGTGCATGTACATATGTAGATGTTTATTTATTTAATATATAAGCTGTTGTCTGTTGTGGCTAAGGATCAGGTGTTCTGGTGAGAGAAACAAAAATAGAAAACATGTAAAAGAAGCACTAGATTTTCATTCCGGAGCTTTCCTTGTCATCAACCGATATGTAATCACAGACAATTCACCTCTCCTCGATTGCAAAATTAGAGTTTTGAGCTGACGCAGGGACAAAAGCTACATTTCAAGGCATGTGCCACCTTCAGGAATGAGGGGTGGCTGGCCAAGATCCCTTGGCTGAGAATTATGAGACTGTGTTCAGGTTCATGGTAGATGAGCCCATCCTTGTCTACTTATGTCTACAAGGAGCCCGGTTGCGAATGATTGCTACAGGCGCTGTAAACTCCTTTTACCCCATTCTGTCCTAGCTTTGTTTTATAATCATCAACTTACAGAAGTTTCCACTGAAAACAGTGTGGAGGTTCCTCAAGAAATTAAAAATAGAACTTCCCTATGACCCAGAAATAGCACTAATAAGAATTTACCCAAGGGATACAGGAGTGCTAATTCATAGGGGCACATGTACCCCATTGTTTATAGCAGCGCTTTCGACCATAGCCAAATTATGGAAAGAGCCCAAATGTCCATGAAATGATGAATGGAGAAAGAAGATGTGGTTTATATATACAATGGAATACTACTTGGCTATGAGAAAGAAGGAAATCATGTCATTTGCAGCAAGGGGGATGGAACTGGAAGGTATTATGCTGAGCGAAATTAGAGAAGGACAGATGCCATATGTTTTTACTCATTTGTGGATCTTGAAAAACTTAACAGAAGACCATGGGGAAGGGAGGGGAAAAAACAGTCACAAACAGAGAGGGAGGGAGGCAAACCACAAGAGACTCTCAAATACAGAGAACAAACTGAGGGTGGATGGGGGGTGGGGGAGAGGGGAAGGTGGGTGATGGGCCTGGAGCACAGCACCTGTTGGGATGAGCACTGGGTGTTGTATGGAAGCCAATTTGGCAATAAATTATATTGAAAAAATAAAGAAGTTTCCACTAATAGGAGACATAAACAGATTGTTTTTTAAGTCTCAAATAAAAAAAATGTATCCATAGCACTCACCAAACCTCCTTGTAACTCACTCTCCTCCCCTAAAAGTTCAGAAGACCCATCTGAACTGCTAATGCTCAGGGTCACTAATATGGGCGGAAAACATCACTGTTGTGCAGTCATAAAGAAGGATAGGTTAATACTAATTTCCTTCATGACAAGCAAATAAGCTGTTATCACATGTGGGGACAAAGGCCAGAATTTAACAAGAATATAGACATGACATAATGAAACGGAGGTAATAAATCTCCAGGGAACATGGTCCAATATCTTGACTAGTCATTGAATTATTCCACTTCGTTATAATTTTAAATAGACTTTCACATATATTTTTGTAAATGGTTCCAAAATAAACACTGAGATAAATAATAAAATGCAAGCCCAGGGATGGAGCTGTGATGTTCCCTTTATTCAATATTATATGCCCATCATCTAGAAGAATTTCAGACACAGTGTTCACCTTCAATAAATACCTGTGGAATTAATGTCTTGTTTTCCCTTTTCTAGACAAGATGATGTATCTTGCTCAGCACCTGCAGTTTGTATACAGAAGAGTCATTGCTTTAACACGGGTTTCAAGGTACGTCCCAGACACTGTACCTATATGCAATCACAGCTAATGTTCAGGCCCATCTAAAATCACATCGCTATTTTTTGTTGTTTAGTTCCTCGATTAGATTGTAAGCTCTTATCTGCGTCTCTTACAGCTGAGGCCTCAGAACCTTGCTCAAGTGTCTTAGATGTAGCAGCTGATCAGAACCCAATTGTTGTAAGAATTTCCATTGTAATGGTAAAATAACCTGGGCAAAACATTAAGGGACTAAATCAAAGTCATGGCAGAGGCTTGTCTAGAATCCATTTCTTTCCCCTAAGTCCTGATAGAACTAACAAAGAAGAAATTTTATAGCAATTAACTGCTAAACATTAGGTCGACATGCCCAGGGTTCAAGTTCTGTCTCATGTGGACAGTAAGAGAAGAATAGGTCTATGACCATGCCACCCTGAACACTCCTGATCTCCTCTGATCTCGGAAGAAAGAATAGTCCCCAAAATTCACCAGCTGCAAATTAGTTGGGGGGGGGACCTTAAAACAAAGTGCCCAGGCAGTTACCAGAAGTCAAAACACCATCAGTCTGAGGAGATCTATGTTGCCTGTTACGGTGATCTCTGGCCTTACTGAGCCTAATGGATAGTGACTCCAAATGTCAGATTTTCCTCTTTTTCATTTGACCTTGAGATTTCAAAGTGAATTACATTTATCCCAGAAAGGTCAGCAGATTTCATTGAAGTGAAATGTGTGCAGAGAAGGAGGGAAGTTTAATGGTGACTGGGCATTGGCTTTTCAGCATCCTTGCCAGTGGGAAGCATGTTATCAAACTTCTAGCTGTATAAAAGGAAGATAGAGCTAAATCCCTACGAAATAAATATCTGAATCAATGATGCATTTGTGTCTAAGCCTAAACTCTCCCAAGAATAACCATAAAATCAGCTTCTTCTGAATTTTAACTATGCAACTTTACCCCAGGACACCAGGAGCAGACACTTCCAGGGCTCACATCCTCTTGGCCCCTCTTTGGTTTCTGTCACGGTGGTTATAGATGATTCCTTTCACCTCCAGTGGACAGGTTCCACCTCAGACTGGTTCTACCTGTCTCTCTATATCATGCCCTGATGTCTTCTACTACAGGAGCTCTCTTAGCCCTCTCAGGCACAGCCTGGAAGGAAGGGGAGGGGGCGTGTGCATGTCTTTAGAGTTAATGAACAAATGTACTTCTCTCTTTCAGAGGGACTAATCTATGATGTGTGTGTGTGTGTGTGTGTGTGTGCGCACATGTCTGTATTCGTTTACCAGAACTGGGGTGTAAAGCAAATTTCGAGGAACAGTTTTAAAGTCATTGATTAAATCCCTGCAACAACTAGGTCCTGGGTTTACAGAGATAATCGAAGGTGGCCCTTGAATTATCAGAGTTCAGGATTCAACAGGTGCCACATATCTGGAAAAACGTTCTTCCCTCTGTCATCTTGGCAGACTATTCCTCTCTGAAAACTCAGGTCAGAAGTCACCTCTTTCAGGACGCTTTTGACACTCTTCCTTCAGAATCTTCTTCTGCATATGTCCTTACCAGTTGTTTTGGGGCGTATGTGTTTATATCTGTACCTTTTGTTAATAGATGAGCTCCTTGAGGGGAAAGACCCTGCTTTATTCAGCTCTGTATTACCAGAAGGTATAACAGTGTACATAGTGGGTCCTAAAAAGAGGTTTAATTTAAGGAACAGAATTAAATTATAAGTCCTTGGAACATTTAGCAAAGTGTCTTGTCCGTAAGTCTCTGACTCTTTCCTTCCTTCCACTGGATTATTCTTATCGCTACTGCTGTGGTCAAATTCTGTACCTTTGTAATTGTATGAGTGAGCATAATCTGCAGTCATGTAAAACCAAATGGATTCCCAGTGGTCTTGAAGAGTGAGTCAAATTCCTGACTACTATCTCTTGGGTATCTTAGAATTCAAAGCTCCTGTAAAATTGATTTTGGTGCCTGCCATTTTCAGGATGGACCAACTCTCAGAGAAGATATAAACTACGGGTGACCGCAAAAAAGAGGATGGCGGGGTGATGACCAACTGCCTCTGAGAAGTAAGAGAGAAAAAAAGAACAAACAGCTGGCCCCTAGGCTTGTTAGAGAGGCAGAGTGGTATGGCCCAACAGCATTCATTCATTTTGTCTTTTTTCTCTCATCTAGAAACACCAATGTCATCTTGTCCTAGGCCTGAATCTTCTGGCCCCCTAGTGTCCTATTTCACACTCCCACAAATACACACCAAATAAATGCGTATCATCCCACCCAAACGCAAGCCACCTGGCTCACTGAACGTTTGGTGTGACCCTCAACATTGTTTTTTTTTTCTTTTAATTCTAATGCCACTCATCAATCATGGCTATAAAATATAGGGGCAGGTTCACATTGCCATTCGGCGGCGGGATATGTGTGTGCCATGTTTGGTGGGCTGGCTGTGGAGCATTTTCTCTTTGAATGAAAGAAGTCATCCTGAACACACATTCTTTTCTGGTAGTTGCTTTTTCTTCTAGATCACAGTATGCCGGAGGACATATTTTGTGTTGTTTCCTTTCTCTTGGTTCCATTGCTTATCAATGGGTTTTTGAAGTCTGTATCCTTAGGTTTATTTCCTGACTTTGGCCAGGGAACTTTACAGGGAGCACTTCTCTGTGAAAACACGGGAGGGCAAACAGAGATAGCACACCTGGCCAGATACCTGGTCAGGGAAACAAGAACCTAACTTCACAAAACGTCCTCACAGACAAGATCTAGTTTGCTTCTTTTGAAGACCCGAAGACTGGAAGATCAGGTTTTATTATACTGTTTTACAGATTAAGAACTGACTCTGGGAGGTGAACAAGACTTGGCCAAAGTCATTCACATGGAAAGTTGTGGAGCCTGCTTGTGACAGAATCAAGTCTTGGTTCCTGTCAGTCCTTTCAATGGACCAACATAAAACTTTCAATAATAAGAATAAATCATTATAAATTATATATATGTATATATATATAATCATATAAATATAATACATATACTAAAAATAATAATTTGTGAGCCATTAAATAATTAGTGCCACTCACTATTTGGTAGACTATTCTATTCTTTCTATACTCATTTTAGTACGTTTTACAAAGGAAGAGAAGTGCTAATAAATAACTTGTTCATGACTCCATTGTTTTTATGTAGTTGTGCTTAAATCAAACTTAGATGTGACGGCATTCAAAGCCTGTGTGCTCTCACTCCATCACCCGATTTATAGTCTGAGAGCTAGTGACCAAGTTCGATGAGGGTATTTGTGGTAAATCGAAACTAGTGACCCTAGGGGTGCCTGGGTGGCTCCGTCGGTTAAGCGTCTGACTCTTGGATTTTGCCTCAGGCCATGATCTCATGATTTGTGAGATCGAGCCCCGCATCAGGTTCTGTGCTGACAGCATGAAGGCTGCTTGGGATTCTCTCTCTCCCTCTCTCTCTGCCCCTCCCCCACTTGCTCATGCACTCTCTCTTTCCCTCTCTCTAAGTAAATAAACATTAAAAAAAAAAAAAAGAAAGAAAGAAACGAATGATCTGAAAACCTAGAGGACACAAGTTAACAAGAGTTGTTTGTGTTAGTAAATCCCACAGTCAAAACTCAAACTAGGATCGAAGACAGGAAGAATATTAGTAGAGAGTTAGCAGTTAGCAAGTTATTTTAAATTGGGGCACCATTGTCAACAGGATAGGAATAGCTGGATAGAGGATGTTTTAGTCAGTTTGAGCTGCTTTAGCAAAATAACGTAGACTGAGTAGCTTAAACAACAGACATTTATGTCTCATAGTTCTGGAGGCTGGGAGGCCAAGGCCAGGGTGCCAGGACGGATGGGGCTCTGGTGAGAGAGCTCTTCCTGGCTTGCAGGTGGCCTTGGTCTGTGTGCTCCCATGACCTCCTCTTTGTGCACACATGGACATCTATCTATCTATCTATCTACCTACCCACCTATCCATCCATATACACATATACGTGTGGGGCCTTTAATATATTCAGGAGCACCTACCATGACCTACTTACCTCTGAAAGACCTCATCTCCAAATAACATTACACTGAGAGTTAGGACTCAACATATGAAGTTTGGGAACACAATTCATATCAGAGGAAAATGAAATAGAGACTAAATGGAGACGCATTGCCTGTTCAGTGGAGAACGTGTTTCAGAAAGTACTGAATTCAGGCATTAAAGGCTGACTGGAACAAAGCTCACTCTCTTTCTCATCCTCCCTAAAGTCCACCTCTTGGCTCTGCTTGTCTTACGTGTGGCCTCCTTTTCCCCAACTGCAACCAAGTTCCCGCCTTATTCCAAAGCAAATGTACTCCCCCCTTTCATCTTTGCAACCTGAAGGACAAGTGCTTTCTACCTCGAAACTGAAGAGCCCAGAGAAAGGGCTCTGTTGGATGAGCTTGATTATGGGCACAGCCCTGGACTCTGTGTTAAGACAGGAAGACTGAGGGACACACTCAGGCTGGGGCCAGACGATGGGCTCCTGTGATTGGTCACCCCACAAAAACCACATCGTTGCATAGGAAATGCACAGGTGCCCCCCAAAGTGGAGCACTTGATGGACAAAAATATCTAATATGCATTGCAGAAATGTTCCAGTGCAGTAATTCGTGGGTGGTGAGAAATGGAATAACATAGGGTAGGGAAGAGAAGAGTGGGGTGAGGGTCAGGTAATCTGGGCTCCGTTCTATTACTCTCTTCATGTCAACAATGAGCTTTGCTTCTCTAGGCTTCAGCCTAACCATCAGTAATATGAGGAATCCCCAAACTGGCTGTGTATAAGAACAGTTTTAGAGATGTTTAAAAATACATCGCCAGAGGGCCCCCTGGGTGGCTCAGTAGGTTGAACATCCGACTTCAACTCAGGTCATGATCTTGCGGTTCGTGGGTTTGAGCCCAGCGTCGGGCTCTGTGCTGACAGCTCGGAGCCTGGAGCTTGCTTGGGATTCTGTGTCTCCCTCTCTCTCTGCCTCTGCCCCACTCACACTCTGTCTCTCTCAAAAATAAGTAAACATTAAAAAAAAAAAATACATTGCCAGGATGTCCTAACACGAGAGAACTGTCTATAATGATAAAAGTTAGAAAAATAATTATTTCTTGGGCGGTACTCAGGGACCACTGTACTGGGTGACTTCTCTGGACTTTCAATGTTCTAGTAGTTGATGATTGTAATAGAGAGTGAGAGAAAGAGAGAGAGAGAGAGAGAGAGAGAGAGGGAATATCCTTGGATGAGGAATAAGAACATGCAGGCTTTCATGGCTGACCCAAGAGAGCTGTGCTATGTGTCACTCATTACTCCCCTTACGGTGTCTGCTCGCTGATAAACAGTGAAATCCTGCCACATGCTTTCAAGCAAAGAAGAGTCTCAAGACTTTCCAAATAAAGATCAATGGGCTCATTCTGCATGCAGACATTTTCATCAGCGGAAACACACACCATAGAAATAGACTACTCCCCACGGTTTCCTGCCCTCCAGCTCCCGTAAAGTCATAACAGATGCTCGACAGCCTTACAGAGCCCCAGACTGCCAGCAGCTGTGCATTGACTCCTGCTAATTAAGCCACCTATCACCTGACCAACAGTGCATTCCACTTTGGGATTGCTCTAGGAGAGGCAACAGTCACACTAATCATTCACCTTGAGGAGAAAAGATTTCAGACACGCAACGAGCTTCTTCCAGCATCGCCTACTCCTACAGGGAAGACAATACGCTCCACACTGAAAGCGAGAACACAAATTTACCAGGGATTAGTGTCACAGCTATTTGTGAGTGTGGAAATAAATCGCTTACAGATCATTTAGTCCTGGAGTTCTCAGCCAAGGTCTACATTTGAATCACTTGTGGGTCTTTTGGCTTACAAACCCCTGGACCCCCATCTGGACCATGCATGTTAGCATCTCAGAGAGATGGACACGTGTAGACTCACAAATCTTGTTTACGATGATGTGGTTAAATCCCTACCTCTGTAACAAATACAGATGGTAATGTCTGGCCCGCTATGAGGTTAATCTGAGACTAGGACTCAGACTTTTTGAGAATTAAAAAAAGACAAATGTAGAATGAAGATCGAAAGACTGAGGCTATTATCCTGCATTATTTTTTAAAAGCTAATATAAAAATATATGTTTGTATATCATCTTAGAATAGGGATACAGCCAAGGTAATGAACATCAGATTGGAGTCACATAAGCTACTTATATCCTGATCATATGCACTTATTTGACATAATGTTATGAAACACACGCAAACACACACACACACACACACACACACACACACGCCCCTGAGAGTTAATAGTATTTTGTCTGAAAAAGCAACCTTGCTTTCTGGATTCGAATTTCAACCCCACGACTTACCACAAAATGTCATGCAAGTTAGTTAACCTCACAGTCCTCAAAAACGAATTGGGATAATAGTAGTGCCTATTTTATAGAATTTTTGCAAGATTTAGTATAATTTAATATAATTTTAAAAAGTTTATAAATGGAAAGCACTTTGTTCAGTTCTTGGCATGGAAATTCTTGGTAAGTATGAGCTATGACTATTATTCAAAGCCCGAGAAACCGTATTTCTGCTTAGTGTAGACACCAAAGTCTGAGGTTAAATCTTGATCACGCCATTTACTAACTGCCGTGATCCATTTGCCAGCTCTGGTCAAAGTGGGAAATGGCCCGATGTGAGTCTGAAGGAGGCTAATAGAGTGGAAACAGGAAGCTGGGAGGCAGCAGCCTTAATGCTTTCTACTCAGTGTGGACCATGGAGCATCAGCAGCATTTACATCACCTGGGAACTTGTTAAAAAACAAGAATCTTGAGCCCTACCCCAGACCTATTGAATCTACATATGCATTTTAACAAGATCCCAAGGTGATTCCTATTACATTACATTTTAAGAAATACAGCTTTAGTGGGTCAGGTCCAGGCAAGGCAGATGCTGGAACAAAAGCATAACTCAAACCTACAAAACAAAAATAGAATTTCCCAACGGTGGGTAAAGACAGTTACAGAGTAAACCCACTGACAGGTAACTGACAGGTAATTTTACAGGGACAGAGCCAGTAAATGGAATTCTGGAATAGAAGGTTTTGCTATCTAGGACTGTTCTTTAGGGTCAGTTCACTTAAAAGGGTCTGTAATCCTGATGAAAGAGGTCAAAATCCTGAGCAAACTTGGAAAACATAGCTGACTTCGTGCATCAGAGGCAAGAGGAGAAGCGCGGGTAAAGTTTTGCAGCGAGAGGTGGGTCTGGGCAAGAGCAAAGATGAAAGGTGGTCAGGGGTTGGGGAGTTGGAGCGAGCTGGGGAAGGAGCGAGGAGGAGACTCCAGAGCAAGGTGAGGTCCCAGCACCTTTGCAGATGAACTAGAACTATGAAGCGATACCA